TCTGCAGTGCAAAGTCTTTTGTCCCATCTCCCTCCTCCCACCCCAGCAAATAGCTGCCCCTGCCTGAGCCTGGTTCTGCTGCAGGCTACTTCCTGTTAAAAGGTATGTTTTCCTTCCCACTGTTGCCAAGTGCTTACCCACGGCTTGCTTGACTGTTGTGGTTTTCTCTGTACAGGGTGGGCCATTTATATGGATACACCGTAATAACATGGGAATGGTTGGTGATATTAAAGTCCTGTTTGTGGCACATTAGTATATGTGAGGGGGCAAACTCCTCCAGATGGGTGGTGACCATGGTGGTCATTTAGAAGTCGGCCATCTTGGATACACCTTTTTTTTTCAATAGGAAGAGGGCCATGTGACACATCAAACTTATTGGTAATGTCACAAGAAAAACAATGGTGTGCTTGGTTTCAACGTAACTTTATTCTTTCATGAGTTATTTACAAGTTTCTCTTTGTTCACAGCCATTGACATGTCGAAGAGGTTAACACGTGACGAGCGGATCGAAATTGTGTTGATATCTGGTGAACGCAGTAACCGGGTCATTGCAGCAGATTTCAATGTAAGACACCCTACCAGACCACCCATCTCCCATGCTACAGTTAGCAAACTGCTTGCTAAGTTTCGTGAAACTGGTTCAGTGTTGGATTTGCCAAGATGTGCACGCAAGAAAACTGTCAGTAATGAAGAAACATCAGTGGCTGTCCTAGCTTCATTCAGCAAGAGCCCACACTAGCACTCGGCGCATGTCATTGGAGAGTGGCATTAGTCGAACATCCCTTCGGCAGATATTACCTACTCACAAATGGCACCCTTACAAACTCCAGCTACTGCAGCATCTCAACGAGGATGACCCAGATCGGCGCACAGAATTTGCAGAATGGGCAAAACAAAAATTGGAACAGGACCCTCAGTTCACGCAGATTTTGTTCAGTGATGAGGCAAACTTTTATGTGAATGGTGAAGTTAACAAACAAAACCACCGCTATTGGTCTGAAATTGCTACATGATGATGTGTTTCCCTCTTTATGCACTGAAGCTGGCACGTTCCCTGAGTTTTTCCAGCAAGATGGTGCACCACCACATTATGGGTGCCAGGTCCGAGCATTCCTAGATGAACAGTTTCCTGGAAAGTGGATTGGTCGTCATGGGCCAGTTGAATGGCCCCCAAGGTCTCCCGATCTGACCCCCTTAGACTTTTATCTTTGGGGTCATCTGAAGGCAATTGTCTATGGTGTGAAGATACGAGATGTGCAGCACCTGAAACTACGGATACTGGATGCCTGTGCTGGCATTTCTCCTGCGGTGTTGCTATCAGTGTGTGAAGAGAGGGAGAAGTAGGGTTGCATTGACAATCCAACACAATGGGCAGCACATTGAACACATTTTATAAGTGTTCAGAAACTTGTAAATAACTCATGAAAGAATAAAGTTACGTTGAAACCAAGCACACCATTGTTTTTCTTGTGACATTACCAATAAGTTTGATGTGTCACATGGCCCTCTTCCTGTTGAAAAAACAAAAGTTGTATCCAAGATGGCCGACTTCTAAATGGCCACCATGGTCACCACCCATCTTGAGGAGTTTGCCCCCTCACATATACTAATGTGCCACAAACAGGACTTTAATATCACCAACCATTCCCATTTTGTTACGGTGTATCCATATAAATGGCCCACCCTGTATTATCGTGGGGTCTTTATGTTACAATGTAAAGCGCCCTAAGGTGCCTGTCAACTACCCTCCGTTGTATACTTTTGAGGCCCATCATCTGAGCCTTTTTCTACCCATTTAACATGAACGTGAGGACACAGACTTATAGAAACCACTTGTACACATCTTCAATTCCCCTGAAACATCAATGACCCTCAGGGGTTCATCCCATCTCACTCCAAGCACCACCAGTCACCTAGATTATTGCCTTTGCTGAGGAAACAGCAGCTGATGTGTATCTGGAGGAGGCTGATTGTCACTGTCTTCACAGGCATCAGCGTGCGATGTTCCTCTGATGGTGTGAATCCGTCAGGACCAGAAGATTCAATCCAGCTGTCCAACATATCTGCCCACAGTATCTCCACCTCTAACACACACTCAGAGCATTTTAACACATCCACCCACCCTGAATAAGACAGGACGGTCTTGCCTCCTGTCTCTTGCTTATTCCATCCATCTTGTTCTCCCACATGTGATCACAGAGCGCCAGTTGACTATAAAGGCGGGCAGTATCCACGGGGCTGTGTGTGACACAGACAGCTGCAAGGAGATCACAGATGTCCACATGCACATTTTGCTTGTTTATAATGTCGAGGAAATTCACTTCACTTCCTTTTTGGCTGCATTTTCTACACTCATTTTCACAGGTCACATATACAGACAGGGTTTGCTTTTCTTTCTTGTTGGGGTCAAAACAATTTGATGACTGTATTTTGCTTGGGTTAGTAAATGTGCTTGCGTTACCCCCTCACGTCAAAAAGGACAGTTGAAGGACACAGGTCTTTTTGTCTCACTGCCTTTCTTCCACTCTCAGCTTCAACAGTAATGGCTCAGTAACACTAGAGTAAAGGCAGGTTGGCAACCTCTTTGCAATGAAAGGGAAAAGAAATCGGTGGTTGTTCAGTGATTGCACTTTTGTTGTAGGAGACTGGTTGCAAGAAGATTGCCGGGTGGGAGGCAAGTTGTCTCCAAACAATCACAGTCCAAGTTGGACTGACTGCACTCTCAGATAAGCTGCCAAACCTTTGCTTTCTAATTTATTAATGCAGACAGATTACCAACATGTTGCAATTAATTATTTGGGATAGGCACTCAAGTGATTGCCAGATGGTTGTATTCTGGTTAAGTTACTGTCCGGCAGCAGCTATGTCACCCTTTGTTTTGGCTGTATTCCATAGTGTGTCTTTTGTCCCGAGTCCCTCCCCTAACCTCCAACAGATCGCTGTTCCTCCCTGAGCACAGTTCTGCTGACGGTGTCTTCCTGTTAAAAGGGAGGTTTTCCGTCCCACTGACGCCAAGTGTTTGCTCATTAGGGTCTGATCTGATTGTTGGGGTTTCTCCTTTAACTTACAGTATAAAGCACATTGAGGTGACTGTTGCTGGGATTTGGCACTATTTAAGTAATTTAGAATTGAACTATTTGTTGAGTTATTTCTGTTTTAAATCTACAAGGTTCTAGTTTAAATCTGAGTGCACGAAGGTAATGGACGTTTTCAGTTCCATCAGTCACCATGTTATTAAAAATAACAAGGAATTGCCATCTTTACCCAGTTCAATCATAAATTACAGACTGATAGCAGTTTGTCTTTTTGCCATTTTATCACTGTCTTAACTCACCAAAGTATGAAAAACATAAACGGGCAACATTAGTTAGGAAACTATCAACAACACTCCTGAACTTGAAGAATGGAGTCTCTTAACTTACACAAGGTGAGGCAGCCTTTGAACAACAGACCTGCAAACTCACATACAGCTGCAGTTTTGTCACCAATCAAAGCACAGGAAATGGTCAATGTGTGGAAGACTTTATTTAATTAGGTAAAGTTAAAGTAATATAAAAGCACACTTGGCAATTTCTTCAACAACCACGCTCAAGCATCTATCTTAATAAAATTACCTGAGCTTTGTGAACTACACTATGTAGTGTTTGTAGTCGTGATTATATATACTGATTTATGATGTAGTTCAGATCCTGTTCATCTTTGAATTTGCTGTAAAGCCTGTTGAAGTGGCCCAATGTTTAGGTTTAATGTCCTTGCTTCCTCTGGTGCATCTTACAACCTGTGTGTTGCGAACATGTTACCGAAGTGCAGCTGTTCTGGGTAAAAATGCACATCTCTCTTTCATAGTTTATTTCTTTCATTAAACAGCAATGTGATCCAAATGCCGCCTTCTGTCAGATAGTTGCCGTCCAGTTCTTCCACCCTGGTGCCGACACTTCTGCTGCTTCCTGGCTTCTCTCCATCTCTGGGCTAACACGCTGCTGCTTGACTCACAGGCGTCTTTACACCTTGAGGCTGGCATGACTGAGTCATTGCAGTTTGCCAGCTGTATTAAAGTACTGTGTATCAGTGACATTTATTTATGCTGGTTTAACCAAGTTTGGTTTGGTTTTGTTTTTAAAATTGCTTTTTACATTCTTATATATTTTTTAATTGCTATTTTTCCCTGATTTATTATTTATATAATCTGTGATAAAATATATAAAAAAAAGAGAAAATAAATAAAAAGGCCAACTTTGTTTTGTTTTTGAGCTGACAAACTGACAAAAAAAGAAAACTTAATTTTAATTGACCCCTTCTAACTGTGGGTTATTTTTTTGGCAATTATTCCACCTGACATTCGAGTTGAGGAAGTGTTGGAACCGTTTTCTCAACACAGGCAGCTGTAGCTGATTGGCGTTTGCTAGGTCTGACCTCGTGTAATGTGAATGATTTAAGTAGCTGTTGGCCTTTTTCTGACCATCTTAATGTCATTATTTAAAACAAAAGTTTGGGTTTTAGTGAAAATTGTATGCTCATGTTATTGGCCTGCTGCATCCAGAAGTTAGGATGTATAAATCTGTAGAATTGTACAGTTTATGGTAGCAGGTTGCTAACCAAGCTTGCTAGCTTCAGTTAACTGTTGTTCTACCTCTCATCCAAATCTGATGCCGTCTGACTCCAAAAGTCACCAAAGTTGATGCTTTAAAATGCAGACTTCAAACCCAGCAGGAGACAGCATCACAGAGACTTCCACTCTTCGTATAGTCTGTTGTCGTAACCACACTGCACCCAACCAGTTGAAGTGAAAAACTTCTATGAAACACTAGAAGAACAATTTTGACTGAAAACATTTATGGTAATTATAACCTGATATTGTGACATCACCAGATTGGGAATAGACTAGTTTGTTGGGGGGGGGGGGGGGGGGGGGGGGGCTCCCCCTACTAGCGGGATGTGATGTCTGTGCCCACCCCTCCCTCCCAGAAGCTATACCTATGCAGATGACCGATACACAGCTCTTTTATATTCAAGTCAACCTTTATTGATCAATGCACAGTAGTATTTACTTCCAAACCTCACACTTTTGACAGTTCCATCGATCCAAACAAAGGAAGCGGCTTCCACACCATCACTCATCTTTCATTAGATTACAGGAGACGCAGAAATCATTATTTTAGACATAATGGCACATAAAGACTGAAAAATGGTCTGTTTTGGCTATGGCCCGTTGACATTTCATCTCAAATGATGGTTTCTATCCTAATATCTAATGTTCTATCCTCAGAGCTGCTGGCTTTTTCAATAAACGAAATGGAGCCTCTGACTTGGCTAATGCTGCCTCTGACCAGCGGATCGGGACACAAATTTGTTTTTAATACAGGAAAGTACAGTTTTGACCTCTAAATGTAACTCAGCACCACAGGCAGCTGTAATATCATCAGTGATAATGGCAGAAAATGGCAGAGAGGGGAATCAAATCAACACAAGCATGATGGATAGATGGATGGCAGGGATGTTAGTAATGTCTGCCTTCACCCTCTGTCCCTTTCTCACATGCGACTCCATCTCGTCGAATTCTAATTCTTGGATGCTGAACTGCAAAGAACAGGCCAGCGCTGCTTATGAAAGCCTTTCACATATGCGGCGAGGGTACATGCAAGCACATGCAAATAGGAAGCATTTGCATGTGCTTAGCATTAGCATTCATTATCCGCGGCGTCGCATGGGGCTCGTGCGAGAGGTGGCAAGAGTGCGTTTCGCGAACTCGTCCTCAGCGAGACACCGATCATTTCTAACTCTTGAGCCTGGATTCTAATTCAGTGCCGGGATACAAAACTGCTGGCTGGTGAAACGGATACAGCTCGCCTTGGTGGAAAGTAAGAGTTTCCTTTTATGTCAAACTCAACAGTTAAAGGAAATTAAAAATGATTTCACAGCCTGCTATAACAGGAGCGCTCATTTTATGGTAAATTAGGCTGTGACAATTACATTGCTCGGACCACGGGGTGGTCTGCGGAAGCCACGCGCAAAAGTGTGCACAATCAGCGCAGGCTTCGAGTGGGCGTCTTCCAGACTTGAAAATAATTAACACGAGAATAATGTGCTCTAATTCGATAGTGACGAGAAATATATAAATAGGAGGAAAGAGTCCACGTGAAATGGGAGTCTCTGGATTCTCAGTCTGCTCACTGACCAGCTGCAGTCTCAACCGGCTCCTTTCTCTTTTTCCTCATCTCCCCCCAACCTCTAAATCAGCTGGCTCCTTTGGATGACATGGCAGCCGGCCACCTCTCACCACCCATTTGCTCCTCTTCCCTTCCCCCACCCACCCCCATCACCTCCCACAACCCCTGCCAGGAACAGAACTGGGCCTCGAGGCCACTCCTTTTCAGCTCCGTCTGACCACGACACCATGCTGAGCTGCTCCCGTGCACGGCTTCAACTGCAGAGGAGACAAAAAAAAAAAAAAAAGGAAAAAAAAAAAAGATGTTGGCATGAGAGGACATGTAAATACACAATGCTGATTCTTAATGTCCCTAAGTCGTCCCTTGTTTCCTGCTCTGCGGCAATTTAGAATGAAAAAGGGGGAAAAAAAATACGAGGCCACTTTTCTAATTCAATTTTTAAGCATTGGCTGCAATAATTAAAAGGTCATTTTCCTGCCAAGCAGCACAGCTCTTCTGCTGTAACTAAGCAACATTTTAAGTGAAACATAATTATTGGCAAGACTGCCGATTTTGGATTAGCGCATTACCATTTCAATCAACAGCTAATGTGTTCGCAGCGCTCTGATTCAGAGTATTTTCCAGCAATTTGAAAGAAACACGAAGCGGAATCCAACAATTCTGAGACGCCTGGACTTGAAGCCGCTGGAACGAGAGGATTTTGATATATATATAATTTTTTTAAAGAAAGGATTTTCTTCCTAAAAATAGTCATATTGAGCACATTCTTCTAACAAGTGGGTGACCTTTCTGTCAAAACACCTCCTTTAAAGTGGCCTTAAATGCTTTGTTATCCACTTTCTCTGCCAGCTTCTAAAAGCCTGAACACCGAGCAATACTTTTCCAGCCATCATTCAACTTTTCCTGCCTTCAAGGTGCAGACAGGACATCATAAGAAAAACACCCCCCGCCCAACCCCTCTCGTTCCATTTCAGGAATGGCCAGAGTCCTCATGCTGCTCTTTTCCTTCAGTCAGAGTGAGTGAGGCTACAGATCCTCATTAGTCACTTTTCCTGAGACCACCCCGACACGGGCATCGAGCTCTCCTCGCTCGCTCAGACTTGCTGAAGGCTAGCCGCGGCCACACACCAATTCACAGGCATTGTGAGAAGCAGAGGCGACTTACGGGAGCCCGGGCAATCATCAGAATCAATCAACCTTTGAAATGCTGTGAATATCATGAACGTGCTGCTGCTGCATAATGTTACACCGGCTGAACGGAGCCAGAGGCGTTTGCAGCAGTGCGGGGGGGTGGGGAGTTAAATGGCTGTACCAGTGCCTTTGAATGTTTAAGAACATTACCTACAAACTGTGTAGACACTCTCAGGCTAGTCTTACACTTACGCTGATATAAATATTATAAGAAGAGTCCTTTCAGAATAACATTTATATCCGTCATCAATAACTATTAATGACAACCGACACAAGTGATACACACGACTGCGGATTTATTCTTACTAAGGGTAAAATATGTTACCAATTAGCAAACTTAGTTATTTTGTAACAAAGGTTTCAATAGTTGTCAAATCACATGAATCTGAGAGATACGCACAGAAGTGATACTGTTAATGAGCCTATTTTAACTCAAACTATGACTTTTCCTAAAGTGGAAAAGGAATTTTTTTCCTTCCCACTGTCTCCAAAGTGCTTGCTCATAGGGGGTCATATGATTGCTGGGTTGCTCTCTGTATGTATTTATTGCAGGGTCTTACAGTATAAAGCAACTGTTGTTGTGATTTGGTGCCGTATAAATAAAATCAAATTGAAAATTGAATCCTTTGCATTAAATCTTTGCCATCAGTACTTCATAAAATCCTTCAGAAAACCAACCCTTTACTTGTGCACCTTTTTAGAAATGTGTGTATACATAGAGTTGTAGTAACCTGCAAAGATTTAAATGGGAACCACCACAAGACAAACTTAGAGGCTTTTTAAACCTATGAGGATGAATTCTAACTCTGTAACAGTCATTTAAACATGTCAAAAATGCACAAGTGTTTAATCAGCAGTTTACCTTTTATGGGTATCAGTTACCATTTAACAGTTACCTCTCCAAATAACGATGTTGGCTTCGTTAACAATGAATAACAAATGAATAAATAATTAGCTTTAGTCTTTGTCAACAGCAAAATAACCTTTAACTAAGGTGTATCTAGCCAATGATTTTTGTTAACTACCTATAAAAATCTGATATTCAAACACAGCATTTTTTTCCTCTCCTCCTGTCAGACATTTGAAACCAGCAGACTTGTGTGTAGTCATTTGTTTTAATCTGGCACTGTTCAGATCAGCCGTTTGCTGGCTTTTTAAATTTTGTTGTTCCAAACACCATAAATATTAGTAAATGTCTGCATTTAGCCAATAATATCAGTCAGTCTCCAAACACAGCATCTGCAAAGACGCACATTCCTGCTGTGATGTAAGAGCATCAACGGCTGTCTGAGGTATACAAGAGAGAAAAAACAGGGCTCTAGATGATGCCTGCAGCAGCGCAGCTCTTAAATGGGTGAGGCGTAGCAGCGAACCAACCTGACGTTTGCATGGTCTCTGTCCAGCCGACCGTCAGTCTCCGGGCACTCAGTGACCGATAGCTGTGCCTGAAGGAAGGACAAACCCCAAATCAATACCTTGTCTAAAAACACTGGGAGAAACTCGAGACAGATCATGCAACATCTACAGGAGAAGATATGCTCATGCAACTCAAGCTTTCTTTTTCAGATAACTCTGTACAGGCACAACCTTTTGAAATATTACAGTAAGCAACTTTTACACAGCAAATAAAAAAAGTAACAGCAGCTCAACTGTACAGAAGATGATGACAGATTTGGCTTTGTTCCTTTTAGCAAGAGTTGCATTAACACTATCCTATTATATTTTGTTAGTACACAGCACAGTTATTTTGGTACATGAAATCCACTACTGTATGATATTGGAAGTTACGTTTTTCTTACTTTTGAGTCGATTCTTTTTTGATGCCATGACTGTAATGATATTTTAAGAAATTGTACGCATTTACCAGAAAGTTTATGTCAAAGGATAAACACACTAAGAAATTAAACATTTAGGGTTAGGTTACCTTTACAGTGGAGTTCTCTAGGTTATAACCATCCTCTCCATTGCACTGCCATTACACTCTGTACTAAAGTAGCCATCGCGCCAGCTGTCATTCATGACAATGAAGCCTAGACCTGAATGGTGGTTTGAACTCAGTTAATTTTCAGATGCTATAAAAGCAATTCTCATTAAGGATTACGACCACAGGTAGGAGGATTGAAAAAGTCTTATACGTACCCAGGCATTCAATGCTTTAGAACTCTATACACATTAGGAAGCTATCCAGGTTATTTTAGAGGTCTTACCTCTGGGTCCTTTTTAAAAAGTATAGAAAGAGAGAGAAAGAATAAGTTGTGCTCTTTTGATAATCAATCAAGACATCATTTAGTAGGGTTAAAGTCTTCAGACGTCAATACATTCATTTAGATTTAAAAAGCGCTTTTGAATGAGAAACAAAGGAAAACACCTACATCTGACTGCTGGTTTAAAAAAGGCCATTTCAGAATTTTACTAGGACAGGAAACAAATAAAGCAAGTTAAGTTTCATAAAAAACAAACTAAGCTTTATTGACAAACTGCTGCAAAACATCTTTTGGACAGATTTAGTAACCTATTTAGGCAAGCTTACACATGTAGCATAATGCATTTTATGGAGAGGGTACAGATACTAGTGGCAGAATAAGTACAGTTAGGATGTTTTAAAATATGTACAAGAGTTCGGATTGAGCTGCAGGATCCCTTCTCTATAGAAAGAGAAGACCCATGTGGAGATTTTTGTCCCAATCCTTCTTTGTGTACTTTGTGCATGCAGTTTATGTAGAGTCAGATCACAAAATCAAGACCTGAACCGTGTGTTTCTTTTTTCTTTTAGCACAACAGGTGAGACCAGGTCTCGTCCGTGTTCTCATTAAACAAACATTTTGTCTTCAGTCTTAAAATTATTAATTTTTGTCTTTTTAAACATGACAAACAAATTGAGGATATGAGGACAGTCCATCTCAACAGTGTCTATTAGGGCTATATTTCAAAACTCTAAGTACAATGACAAATATTGCTGCCTAAGTCTAAATGGACAACGTTTTAGAACTATTTAAACAACAAACCATAATCAAGAATGAATTGTACTTGAGTTAGCCTTTGCTTCATTTAAGGATTTGGGTTTTTGTTTGTTTCTATATTACATAACTGAACGTTTAAAAGGTCTTTTATTTGGCTATATTAACAGAATTTTGAAATGTAGCCTAAATGGGAATCTGCAACTGACCCTCAACAGATTCTTTATATATATGTATATAAAAACAATTAAAATGGATTCCTTAGACAAGTGGATAATGAGCCACTAATTCAACTAGAAACGACTACTCCCACACAGTTAAAAAAATAAAATAAAAATAATTAAAAATTAACGATCAACAATGCAAAAAAGCCAGAGGAGGGTAAAAAGGGTCAGAGGAAAAAATGACAGCAAAACGTAAAAAAACTCAAAGAAAAAGAAAAACTATATAGAACGCCAACTTCTCATCTCTGACCCATCTAAAAGCCGCTTTGGTTGGTTGGATGGTTGGTTGGTGCGACAAAGAAGGGGTGGGGGAGGGAGTTCGCGGTCAAATCTCAAAAACCAGTTCCGATTTTCAGTTCCCAATTTGCTCTCTTGTATAAAGTCCGGCGTAGGAAAAGACCAAACCAAAGACAAAACAGACAATTACTTTTGTCGGGCTTCTTAAAGCGAGAGCTGCCGTGGTAGACAGGCGCTTGTCAGGGCGACACTAAGGGTGGCGAGTCCGCTTCAGTACTGTCGATATGGGTGCTCCCGGTAAGTCGTCTTGCCGCCTCGAGAGGGGGGAGGGGCCTTCCCTGGAGTTGTCCGCTGGGTGCCGTTCCAGTCATCCTGGCCTGGAGTGGAAGCGGAAAAAAAAATAGACACATCAATAATTCAACATTTCTAACAAAGAGCCTTTGACTGAGCGCACATTAGAGCTGCCCTGTGGCACCGTTCAGTTTATCGGACATGTTGGAAAAGCACTAAATCCTACATCTGACCGTGCACGGCACCTACAACACGTCACAACACATCAACAAGAAGTCAAAAACTCTACAGTGTGACTTTAGCATTAAAGAATATTTAACTGTGAAATAAAGCCGTCAGTTTGGATCAGGGTGAAGAACTGTCCCATCACATTGTGGATGATCAATTTTGTCCAATTTCAGATCTTTAAAATAACCATCTGGCAATGCCAATGTTTTCCTTATAGCTTTGTCTTTTTCAGCCTTCATTACAACATGTTTAACATTTAGGCAGCAGAAAATAATGTGACACAATGGCACTGATGCTGACAGATCTGAGTATCAGTGCCATTCTATTAGCTGACAGTGATATCAATCAAAGTCAATATTAGCTGACACAATGCACATTTTGGAAAATTTAATCTGGCTGATGATTTATTTATTTATTTTTACTGTTTTTAAAGACAATCAGAGACATTATGGGCTGACGTGCATGCATATTTCAGACACCAACACGCAATAACAAATATACAGAGGATCAATTCAATCAATTCAATAAGGATGTTTGTCGTTTATTGTAATAAAAAAAATTGTTCTTTACCATAGGACTCGTACGACTCTGTGGTCTCCCCATGTCCATAGTCATAATATTCTGGCTCTCTGTTGGTCATAAACAGGGAAAAAAAGAATAAAAAGAAAAATCACTTTTAATCTTTGAAAAACATCAAGCAGCTGACTGTAATGTCTAGGGGGACGCTAATTGGCTTCTACGAATAAGATCAAAGCTTGGCTCTCTACTATGGAACATCTGAGTCCCGGCTGGTCCTTCTAAATAACACTGGCATCCACAGCATGAAACACAAAGTACTATCAACGCTGAATTTGTGCAGAGTGGCTAAAAAGTATTACTGCTGCTCTCAAATCCCATTTCAAGTGAAACTAGCAACTAGGCGATGTGTGTGCATTCTGTGAGAAGCAGGTGAAAACCAAAGAGACGTCTGATTCACTCACGCCTGCGGCTGACTGTAATAGCTGTCGTAAGACTCGTAGGCCGTGTCTGTGTAGCTCTCATCGTAGCCCTGGAGAGGGAAGGAAACAGAGAGGGAAAGAGAGAGAAGGAAAAAAAAAAAAAAAAAAAGAAAAAACAGGGTGAGATTTAAGGAGAGTCTTGTTCATGAATGTCAAGATGTCCCCAAAGAACTCCACTTGTACAAAAGCAGACACACTCCCCTTATGTCTCGAGCATCTGAAATGACTTATTCCTATGACGACGGACAAGCAATTCAAAGCTAACAGAACATCAAGAAAGATCTTATTGAGATGAGACGAGCAGTGGAGGTCAGATTTAGCAACGTCAAACCTGAAAACATAACGTCTACACAGACAACTGAGGCGTCTCTGCACATTTCTTATATCTAGCTCATCAAATACAACACTAGAAGTGACGTTTGTGTGTGATAATAATAAACCTACAAAATAAATGTGAAAGGATAAATTCATTTCCACTGGCAGTGGTACTTACATATTCGTCATAGCCTTCTGCAGCTGCACCGGGGTTGTGCTGGTGTGGAGGCGGTGGTGGCATCCTCTGGGGAGGTCCTCCAGCTATGAGTCTGGCACGGGGTGCCACAGCTCCCCTGGCAGGTGCTGCGGGAGGTCCTCCTCTGCCTGCTGGGGCACCCCTCACTGCGCCACCTCTGGCTGGGCCACCTCGAGTCACACCTCCCCTGGCGGCAGCACCACGAGGCGGCATTCCCCTGCCCCTGGAACCAAGAACTCTGGGTTATTGTCGTGATGATCTACAGCAGGAGTCTCAAACTCAAACGAGCTGAACTACATCTTTGGAAATATTTGTGGATGTTACTTTTATTTAAAATATTGTATAATAAGACAAAACTGCAAAGGTGAGAACTCTTATCTGAAGCCTTATAACAAAATGGTACTTTTCTATCTGACCAGACACGTGGCTGCACTTCTGCTATAGTTTTTTTTTTTTAAACAAAATAAAAGTATACACGTTAGTTTTTGTAGTGCAAATAGTTTTCTTTACAAGTAACTCCTTACTGAACAAACGCAGCCAATCCCTCAACATATTTGTGCTTCCTGCTCACATTGCCTTCATATTTAAAAATAAATAAATATTTAAAAAAAAAAAAACAAACAAAAAAAAAAAAAAACAAAACAGACAGGTAGGTTTGCATAAAGACAGCAGCAGGGGCAAAAAGCAACCCAACTCTAGAGCCCAACTGGTACAGGATTTTTAAGGCTGACAGAGAAACTTGGCAAAAATGTAAAAATCTGATACCAGCCAAGAAAATGAGTTTGTTTAAAAATTTTATTTATTTGTGATCTTTAAACTCCTGGCAGGGTAAGTATAGCTGATTATATGTTTCTTTTTTAAATACTAAGCTCAGCTAACTGGTAGGTGGTTGTAGCTTAATATTAACCATTAAGATGTCGTATCAAACTTAGGCTTTTGACGGCATATAGAGCCGGGCAGCCTGCTGGGCCTGAGAGGTCCCCAAGCATTCCAAATCATTGAGAGGGAAACAACAACAATAAAAATGTATGTATGTGCATACATACATACATACATATTCAGTGATGCAGCAGCTGTCATGAGAAATTGTGTGTGTTTGTGTGCACTTCCTCACCTGTGTGCTCCTGCAGGGGGGACACCGCGGCCCCTGACTGGCAGGCCACCTCGGCCTCGGGCTCCGTGATCCTGGCCTCCGTTCAGGTAGCTCATCTCCATGAACTGCTCCTGGCAGATATCATCCATCATATCCTATACACACAAACACACACAGTGAGGACAATAATACTAAGACAAAAAAAAAAAAAAGAAAAGAAATGGAAAAGTGACTGTGCAAACACAAAAAATAGAAAGGAAAGGAGACAGCGTGGAAAGAGGAGTGATGAATAAAAGAGTGAAATCATTTCCGAGCTGCTCAAAACACGCCACCCCTCCCAACGGCTAACAGAGCGACTGGAAGAAAAAGTCTCAGTGCCAGTGACTCAGAGTGTTAAAGAGAGGAGGGGGGGGATGTGGATGTGGGAGGCTGGAGGTTGGAAAGCATCCATCCACACTCCGTGCCTTCCTGTGTCTCTCCATCATGCACAAAATGTAAATCACTTCTCTGCACACTCCTTGACAAGTCTGGTGTGACTGCATGAGCAGTTACCTTATTTTATCTGCAAAAACAATAACTTGGGGTGGATTAGCCAAGCTGCCTGTCTCAGCAGCACAAATCCTGCAGCCCAATCCTCCGCCTTTCTTCTGGGAGCAATCACAAGAGCTGCACTGTGACCCAATCAATTCTTTTTCATATCACTCCCCAGACTGGAATAGTGACAGAGCTCTAATGATGTCCAAAAAAAAAACTACTGGAATATGAGATGCAGACATCAGCTTTCAACTTATCTGCAGCAAAAGCAGGCAGAGCATTTGACTGATTAGAAATTCATCTGAAGGGAGGAGCAGTCCAGCTGATGCTGCAGAGGATGCAAAGTCTTTACCCAACAAGGTGTTGAGTTTAATCAAGGATCTGTAGACGTTACGATCAATAGAAGAGAGAGAAATCCTTCTGCATTCACGTTGGTCGATGTGCAGATATACACAAATAAACAGGATGAGGAAGAAAAAAGAAGACAAACCCTGCTGAAATCACAGGGCTGTGAGAGACTCACTGTCTTAGTCAAATAAACTAATTTTTTTAAATAAAATAACTCAAGTCTAAGATGGCCGATATTCAGCCCTCCCGCCACTAGCCTGGGCTGCAGCAGCAACCTCCTCTCTCGCTCTGACAGGAAGTTACAAACATACAAGGTGAGAAGTAAGACAGCTGACAGCCTTGTGGACCAGTATGACACCAAAACTGCTGTGATCTAAAACACAAACAGTTGCATGTCAGAGTAAACTGGCACACAGCCACTCCAATGCAGCAATGTGTTAACTGTGTTCTTTACATGCATGCGGCTTCGAACCTGCACGGACAGTGGAGCTGCTGTTTGACACATCTACATATGACTACACCTGCACCAATTTAAAATAATTATAGGAGAATGACATTTCAAATAGGGCTGGGCCATATCATACCGTTCACGTATAATGTCGGGCAACGATAAGAAAATGAAATATCGCAATAGAATATGGGCAAAACGTGCATGCGCAGTGCCTTTGTTTTCATACGCACATGGCGGAGAATGAGAAGGGTGAAAGCAGATCGTTGAATGAAACGGATGAACCAGAATTGGTTTGTAAAAATGCTGCAACTTCAGTGGTGTGGAACTGGTTTAGCTTTCGTCCGTCAGATACACAACAAAGCACTATTTTTGGTAGAGCATGCTAGCGGGCCGTCGTTATTACCGTGTTTTTTGGAAAATACAGCACACTTAAAATCAATCCTTTGATTTTTCTGAAAATCGACAGTGCCCCTTATAATCCCATGTGCCTTATGAATGAATTCTGGTTGTGTTTACTGACCTCGAAACGATTTTATGTCGTACACGGCGCTCGAAAATCTGTCAAATGTTTTAGTACGACTTTGCTAAGCTACGAAGCCGCACCGCTTGATGGATTGTCGGAGCATTACGGCTGTCGTAGGCAGGAGCCTCGCGGAGTGATACGTACTGTGCTTCAACATAATATTACCGTATTGTGTGTGTATAACCTCTTTTTAAGTTTTGTGGATATTATACATGGTTATGCTGAGGATATGTCGGCCAGTTTCCACTGGAAATGGCTTTTGGTTAAACTGTCAGTAAGGAATTTGCATTTGCACTGTTAAATTTTTATATAACTTTCATGCACATAAAAAACAACTGCTTGTTTATGTGAAAATATATTGATGTTTTTTCTTTTTGCACTAATCAAGTTGTGGAGTTGTAAAGTATTTTGTCTAGTGTCAATTATATCGTCAGTTATATCGTTATGGCAAATTTTCAAATGTATATCGTAATAAATATTTTTGGTCATATCGCCCTGCTCTAATTTCAAATGGCTTGTAAATCAACAATCAACATGCATTCAGCCACCTCCATGCTCAGTTTTCCTACTTTGAGGCCATTCCATCAATCTGAGCCCCCCTCCCAAAAAAAAAAAAAAAAAAAAAAAGTAAATTAGTCACCAGGAACATCCCTGTGGAATACCTAAGCAGAAGTACAGGCAATACATAAAAGTTTCAGCAACAAATTACATCCACCCATTCTCCATCTGAGTCATTTATTAAAACACAGCCTTGCTCTAAATGAAGGCCGTCACGCCTGACAGATTATGGTCTTAAACTGTAACGACAGCTTCTGTAAGCGGCTGATTTTTACATAACGCAGCAACACCAACACCGCAGCTGGTTCATCAGCCCATTCATCTAGCCTCCAAATTATTCTTTCTATAGTGCCCTGCACACTAATTAAAAAAATGTAAGGCAGCTCACAAACCCCTGGGCCTATTGGCCTGCTTTGGTGAGAGCCATTGTGAGAGGACTGTGGGCTTCAGCTGGGCCCGACAGCACACCGAGCTGGCCGGCACTCAAGAATCTCTCAGCATAAAACCAACAAAGCAGACGTGGGCTGCGTACAGTGAATACGGCCACATATCCGCCTCGAAGCTCTACAACTCCAGGCCGATTCTCCTCTCTGAAGAATGAGACTCAGGTGAAAGCAGAAAAGTAGGCAAGCCACATGAAGGGGGCAACCCTGCTGACACAGTGAAAGTGGCCCAATTCCTCCTCTTAAGCTGATTGCTTTACGTGCCTGGACTGTGCCGCAGAATGTGTTTGCTCCAGGTAAATACCCACTCAATCTCCTCCGGCTGTCCTAGCAGGCCCTCCTCCCAAAGCTTTGTCTAACCAGCACGCTGCGGCTCTCTCCACCTTTCTGAAACGTAATTTCACTCGATTACCACGAGAACACTTTCGGTGTAGCTTCACAAACTTTTCCCAGCTGGGGAAACTGCATTTACAATCCAAAACAACTTCTAACCTCTGCAATTAAAGAAATCATGAAGTTGCATTAAAGTGGGTATGGGTGAGTGTGATTTTCAGATTTAAAGGCATTTGTGAGGATTTGCTCAAAGTTCAATCAATAACGAGCTTAAAAACCAATCTTGAATCAAAACCAAGCGGAAAATAAAGTCATATTACGAAACTGACATCTCCTACATCTGTGTGCAAATGGGCCTGAAGAAAAACTTGCTGACTGCGTGCATGCAGCTCAAATCAGAGCTGAGACGATTAGCCAATTACTTAGTTGAAAATTAAGAGGCAACTACTTTGTGATTCAATTAATCTCCTGTTGTTCAAGAAGTAATACCAATTAATTCCCCAATTCCAGCTTAACTGGGTTGACTATTTATATTTCCCTCTCTTGTATGGCGGTGAAGACAGTCATGTTAGGGAATGAGACAAAACCCTTTTCAAAGATCTACCTGGGATTTAAGACAGCAAAACGGCACCGTTATCATCTTCAATAGCATTTATTAGATTATGTTTAAGAAAAGAATGGGCACCCAGATCAATGAAAATAATCGTTTACTGCAGCCAGAGCTCAGCCTGTACAAGGCCTCAGATATCACTGAGAAAAGGAAGCGCTGTTTCAATTAAACAAATATAAAAATACACTTATACAGGAGAGAAGAAGCAAATCCTGGATTCAAAACAGTGTTTGTGTGAGGTGATCTTTGGAAAGCAAATCCATAATTTAAAAAACCAAAAAAAAACCAAAACGAAGCATCTTCTTTTAAGCTACAACGAAAATGCCTCTATTCTCATGGCAAAGTCATGTTTAACCTCAACTATTCTCACTCTGACTCTGTATTAAAATTGAGAAATCTCCTGACATCACTTCCCCCTGTTAAGGTGCTGAGTGTTTTCCACATTGCTGACCTTTTACAGGCTTAGTTTTGCAGTTAATAAACGGCACAAAACGCTCTACTAAACTCCACACAGGCAAGTTCACAGATGGCCAAAAGCAAAACTGGCAAACTCACCGGAAACAGGAACTTCTTGACCTCCTCCATGGCGTGGGCCATGCGCAGGTAAGCCTCGGGCACAGGCGCAAAAACCTCGATGAACACGTGCAGCTCCATGGAGAGGTGGGCATACTTGGGCTCACCGCTTTTCCTCAGCCCCTCCTCCTGAAAGAAAAACCATCACAGAGAGTGAGAAGAAGCCAGCTCAAACATTTAATGAATAATGCAAGGAGAAAAAAATCACATTTATTCCACCTCGGAGAGCAACAGGGGTTACATGCAGTATTCCCTTCCTTTGTATAGCTTGATAATTACATCAAACTGGTAGATAACAGGTTTAGTGGGCTATCCTGAAGACTCTGGAGCAGATGTGCAGTGTTTGAATGCCCTTGGCTGAGTGTTAATGTTCAGCTGAGCCATCCAGCAACTTGACTCCATCTGGGCTCACTAACTGTCATCCCGCTCAAGCAAAGGCCAGATGTGTTATTGCTTCAGGTAACCTTCCCACAGGTGCATAAGACCAGATGTGTGTAAGCGTGTGTGTACCTTGGCTTTGTCTCTCATGGATCCTTTGCCCAGCACAGAGATCTTGGCTCCAGTCTCCTCCTGCAGACGTTTGATTGTGTTGCCCTGAGGTCCCAAAATCTTCCCCACAAAATTGAACTAACAGCAAAACAAAGCAGAACAAAATTAGCCTGACAATCACGGCAGAGGCGAGTTTAATACCAGGAGAGTGAGGGAGAGGCAATCACCGTCTGTCAGGGCTCTTGTTGCACATACTGCAGCCTTAAGTAGTAGATTTAACAGACAAAGTCGATATGAGCCCCCGAGGGCTGTAATACTGCCGTTTGCTATTCACTGCAATCATCCATGCAGTGAGCCAGAACTTTACCTCCTCGATCTTTCAACAAAGTAATTACCGTGTGTATGATGCATCCCGCAATTAGCTGTCATTGCCAGAAACGTTTAACAAAAAGCCGCCCCAAAGGAACCTCGCTTCAACCTGAAGTAGTAAAAGCAGCTCCAATAATCGGAATCGCTCATTAGCTGTGTCGTGCCCGACACAGCAGTGTGACGGAACAACTAAAACCCAAGGCCGGTGTTAGGGATGCACCTGTCCTGCATTTGGAATACATCAGTCCTATCCCACCTCAAAACCCTGAAAGGGTCAGCAGACTGGATGCATTACACACCTGCAATGCCAATGTCTGAAATGCATGTTTGCAATTATTTTAAACTCAATCACAACTCGACTGGTCCAAAAAAAACAAAAAAACAAAACAAAACTGGGCTCTCTCTCCCTCTCTGACAGCTTCTGTCGCTCGCTGGCTCGGCTTAAAAGTTTGGAAGCTTTCGCTGCACTTGCAGGAACATAATGCGTTGAATGATATTATCTCACTTCACCTGCCTCTTGACTGCTTCACTGGAGTGGAGCAGACAAGAGTCCATCCAATTTGGTCTATCCCCATTCTGAGAGATCAGACAGTCATCAGACCCTCACAGAACAGGAGATGCTCCTACAGCTCATCGATCCGACGCTGAAAACGAAGCAGCACCTACAGATCTCATTCTTTATAAAGCAGTTTGCTCTATTCAAAAAGAGCACTGAACACCAGAAGTTACACAATGGGCCATAAAAGAGACACCACACTGACTCTGGCAACTTAATCTTTTTATTTTTATTTATTTTTTTAGCAGCATGCAAATGATGCATTGTGCAGCTGCAGCATGCTCTCTGAGTTTTACAGGACAGATTACAGCCTTTATCACAAACAGTCATCCTAAAATCAATGCAGCCTTACGTCTGAGCCAGATATGGATTGAACCGATATGGCTGAATGCACCTGAGGTTAAATGATAAACCTAAGTAAGGCTCGGGATGGAAACAGGAAAAGATCTGAGCACCAGTATGAATTACACTGAAATATAGAGCCATCCCAGCTATACTCATTTTAACATTTTGATCCCTTTTAGTGAGATTTTAAAAACATGCCAGTATCGGCTGTAATTATACTCTGGAGCTTAAAGATCAGGGTTGAGAGGAGTAATTTGAGACTCCCAAGTAACCCCGTGGCTTTGTGTAATTGAAACACAGCTGCAGGATAAATTAAATCAAGAGGGGTTTCGCTGGGAAGCAGGAGACGACAGGAGGAGGAGGAGAAAAGAGGGGAGACAAAGAAAGCTCACCTTCGGGTACTGTTTGACAGGTATGAGCACTCGCTCCTTGAGTTTGATGTTCTTCGTCGTGAAAAGGTCCAGGTATGTCTCAGTTTCCTTTTTAGTCTCACCTTTCTGGATTCTGTCAATTTCTGGAAGATGAGAGGGATCATTTCAGGCAACCAAACAGTCAGAGTGGCAACATACAACACAATGATGAGAAGCACTTATGTGCGCTTACGTGAACCAGAAAGTACCAACTTTAGGGATTCAGCACCACCAGGATAGAGTTAAAACCTGATCTTAAAAACCAGTTGTGCATACACTCATCAGCTGTTTAGAGTTGGATTAATACAAATCTGGTCCCAACTGTGTAAAGCGCAGCATCACTTCTATGATTTGTGGCCCTCTGAGGGGAAAACACGTCTGACTTTTTAGCCCGTTCCTGTGGTTGTAACACACACCTCTGCAAGTCTTTGATTCACAAGCAAATCCACATTAACTGAATGCCAAACAACGGCAGTTTCCACTGAGTGCGTTGACTGCTTCACTCTGCACATTTGTGTTCATTTGAATAGCAGTGAAACAGCTTAGCGAGCCATTAAAAGGCAAACACTTGACCACCGATGAATAGTTTCGGGCCATTTATCAAACAAATCGTAGCCCATTCTCTCGCTGTTGTTCACTCTAAAAGACAATTTTGCTGTGATTATGTCACCCTAAACAGCTGATCAGCCAAATCATCTCAGACCTTGTTCATTCTTTAACAAAAATCAAAACAGTTCAACTCTAATCTGTACTGGAAACAAATCAACACGAAGTATTTGCGAGCATCCTCTGTAACCTCTTCCTTGTGGCAGAGCACCTGGTTTTCCCCCTCCAGCACTCATTGCAGTACTCCCATCTCAAACCACCTCCGCCCTCCTGACTGTGACAACTTCCGAGCCTTCAATGTGCAAACATGCCAGCTTACACCACAGTCTACCAGCTGCAGATCAGGAGAAGCCTGAGTAGATGTTTCACCGAGGGAACCCATCCACACTGCACACCCTGACACACTTTGTCTTCCTGGTTAGTTCACGCTTCCAAATTTCACACACGCAGCCTAGATTCGCCAAATCACGTTTACCAAACGGTGAACTTCATTATCACCAGGGCTACCTGAGTTAAGCAAATAAATAAAATAAAATCAGTTTTAGAAAATGGTTCACAATTACTGACAGAGCACATGGCCAATGGCTGACATAACTATATAATCACATTTGTTTATATAAAGCAGTCATAGCTAGCTTTTAACATCCTTTTTTGTATTACGGATAGCTGACCAACTCACACAGTACTACTAGGTAGGTGTGTGTGTCCACTTGTCCTCGCTTCAACACAGCTGCAAGGCAGCAGTCCCGGGGCGGCCATGGCTGCAGTTTTGTTGCTCAAGGACACTTAAGCAGTGGCCATCGGCAAGCACCGCGGTTAAAGGCTCTTTGTCGCCTCTGCTAGGCCGATTCTCGGCTTTAAAGTACTGAGGTGACCCCCGCTCCTGGACACTAGCGCACATTCACAGGCTGCTGCGCAATAATATATATCAACAGGGACTAGAGAGCACACGACGGAAACAGCCCGCGTGCCCAAGTTTAAACTCGCGCGAGCACCGACAGTTACAGAAAAGAGCAGGTGCGACAAAAGCTGCACGCGAGGAAGCGGATATTAGTCGCAATAACTGAAAAGTGTAGCTCCTCCGTGGTGTAGCGATAGCCTTAAGCGGTTTACTCTTTCAGACGCTATTCGTTCACTAACTACAGATTTTAACGCCCACACGTATTTTTCTTTGTTTTTGAGCCATGAATAGGACCTCGTCTCCGCGTAGCGGTGAACGGGGTAGTTCACGTCCCGTCCGCAAACACATGGCGCCGCTCTCCTCAACTCCAGAGGATAAAGCGTACGGTGGAAAAATTCACAACAAAACAAAAATAAAGACAGTGTAACAGTACTTTACCCGCGTTTAAAAGTTTCATGGCGTGCGTGAACGACGAGTCCAGGCTGTCCTTCTCTGCCAGAAGCTCGGGGAGATATTTGTCGTCGTTCTCCATTTTGTTGAGTTTGGAGGTGTAGGGGGGGCAGTCAGTTTCGGTGCAAAAAATAAAGCGTGGAGAAAAATAAACCCAACAGTATACGGGGAGGAAAAAGTAGTCCAATTATGTAACTACGGAGAACCGCGTATCCTCTTTGCAGACCGCGCTTTGCATGTGGCGTTTTTGTGCGACCGACGGGTCCGTTACTGTTTGCCGCTTCCCAACTGATTGATTCCCTCTTCTCAGCAGCGCTGGCTAGTTGGAAATGGGAGAACAAAAGCTGCGAGGCGCTGGAAGAACAGCCAACTCAAACCGACGGAAGTGAGCTCAGAGGGACGTACTTCTCCGGACTGACGCCGCCTACTGTGTGCTGTTCGGATGCGCCGCCTCCAGGAGCGACAATCCCACTATCAGATTTTCAATAGTGATATGGGTGTGTCCGCTCTGGAGCGAGTTACTGTCATAATAAAAACGTCTAGACTGCCCACAAGGTGTTCAATTCCCCCACACCCTCCACCCCATACTTTAAATTAGGGGAAACTTAGAGATACAATAGGGTGGCCTGCTGAACTAGAGGTGCTCAAGAGAGGCCACATGCTTTAAAATATGTCCTCATATGTTTGCTGTGATGTCTGTAGAAGTAAGCCACAATACTTCAATCTGTCTTGTGGATATTATCGTTTTCTCACATGAAGAATACAATTAGTCTGTGCAGTTAAAGTCATACATATGTAGCAATAGAAATATTCTATCTCTTATGTGCTGTTGTACAGGACCTTTTAACATCGGTTGTATATTAAGTGGTGTGAGCAGGATAATAATAGATGATGACACCCACAGTGTTTAATTAGTAAACAGAATTTCAGTGAAGATGGTGTGCCCTGAAGATGTGCCGCGTTCATTTGAGGCTCTCTACTGCCCCTTAGTGGCAGTGACGACAACGACAAGGAGCGGGTCTCTGTGCAGCTTAAAGTGGGTCTGTCAACAGAAACCCTTTCTCAGTCGAATTACACGTTTTCCTCTCAGCTGTCTATTGATTCAAAAACACTTATGTGTGAGTGAAAAGCAGCCGTGAGCCTAATGTCTGGGAGAAACAGCTCAAGGATTGATTCTGGAAGCGGTAATGAACCTTGCAGTGCCATTCTGTGGAGCACATGGTGTCAGAGGGTACAGCTGACTGGTCCATGCAAAGTAAAAGAAGGCGGTTTCCTGTATATTGGTTATTTGAGTACATACAGTGGCATGCATTATGCCTGGGCAGATCCTCTTTGAGCGAATAGCTGAAATTGCAGATCATTTGTCAGTCGGCCGCCGGACTGAAAACTATTACAATCGACCGCAGGTGTACCCAGGCATGCATCTGCTCAAAACAAATGAAGGCAAAAATTGACTGCAGTCAACACTTATGAGAGGCTGAAGACCTGCTCTAACTATCAGCGCTCAGCTTGATCTATCTCTGACCATTACAGTGTTATTAGTGTTGGGGGTTGCAAGGTTGTCCTGACTCCTCATGTCATTGACAGAATGGATCGCCTGTGAGCTGAATTTCAATTGGCTCATAAAAGGAAGAGTTACTTCTCTTGGCAGGTGGAGGAGTTCCAATCGGATAGCTTGTGCTCTTGCCTTCTGCTCGTGTGGACTTCCCATGTCCCCTAACATACAGGGCCACAGTCTGGGATAAACAGGGGCAGATGGAAGGAGGTAAACACTGGGGTTAGGCTTATATAAGCCATCACTATTCCAGATCTTTGCATCTGACCATTTTTCATGCCCCACAGATTCGTAAAAGTGGCAAGAATTCAGCGCTCCCCAGGAGTTTCATCCTTGTTAGGGCAGAAGAGCATGTGAAACAGCATTTGGAGCATCATGGGAGTCTGAAACTCTACTAAAAGTCAAACTAATGAAATTCTCAGCAGCTCCTTATGGCAGGTTTCACTGCCGTTTTTACAAACTGCAGTATAACAGGACTTGGAGACTACTGCCTCAGTGAAGCTGGACTTCAGCACAGCTGTGCTTTAGGGTAAATGTTAGCATGACTGAAAAAAACACATCCCCACATTTTTCCCTAGTGTTCCTAATCCTCTTCCATACAGCCTCCCAGTGGCACCGGAGAAACAGTTACAGGGTTACCAAATGAACTTCGATACATCATCTGAGAACCATGCAGTTCCATATAGTTATTGAGATTCTAGTGAAACGTGTGATTTGCTGTTAGAAGTTGATGAGAATTCAGAAGAATACTAAAGGATCCATCCTCTCAGACCACGAATTTAGAATAAATAAGTCATGTTCTTGTCAAAATGTATTTCAGTATGGAGCAGTGGACTGTTGGTTTTTTTGACACACAAATTCCTAGAAAAATGCTGCTTACTAAAAACCTCCCATATCATGCTCCAATAATGTTTTCTGGCTGGTATCTGGCATAAAACCAATATAATTCAATGCATATTGACTAAATGTAATCATGTTGGAAACCATCATATCAGAAGAGACACTAAATGGATGATATCCCATTGTAAATTGAAAGCTTTTATCTCTACAGTATGTTTCCTCCAGCCACGATGGTAAAGGGAAAATAGAGATAGAATGAAATCGGTGGCAGGACAAATAGAAGGAGAATAGGAATTTGTACACTTAAATCCTTTAGTCTTCACACTGTCAGCGGAGGGTTTTCCTGTTCTTGGGAGGTTTAGGCACGAAAGCAAGTGAGAGTGAGCGAGAAAGATGGCTGGGTTCAGTCTGAGGGTCACGCTCAGTTTAGCATCGCTACAAGGCCAGAGAAACCTTTTTTTCCCCATGAAAGCTTTCAGAACTGTCACACCTGCTTAGGTCTGTAACACCACCCCACTCCCCTTCCTCTTCCTCTATCCCCACCTCTTCCCAACCCTTCTACACTCCCCATCCCTCCCTCACTGCTCAGCCGCCACAGAAAACAACTCTCTCTTTCACCTCTGTGCAAGATTTTACTTTACACCCCCGTCCTTTCGGCAGGGCGATTATTTTTCTTGATGGTTTACAGAAGAGGAATTGAAGCAAAAGAAATGCTGAAGTAACACTAAATCGTTAAAATTTATAGACAGGTTGTTTTGATTTTTGATGCAAATCCTTTGTTTTGTTAAAGAGAAATGCCTGCCTCTTTGTGTATCATTATGCTATACCTCTAGACTATTATTAGAATTGGAGCTCTACTACTTGGAGACAGGAGTCCAAGGAAAAGCTATTAGTGAGGCTACTTACATATTCTGCTGGTACTGCAAAAACAGGGGGAAATGCCAAAGACTCAGCAGTCAAAAACTTTAATTTTCTCTGCAACATCTTTTGCTTCAGTAAATAAGTAATGTGACACTCTTGCTGTGTTATTTCAGATATATCACTGTCCCCTCCTCTATTAAAAAGTGTATTAGCTCATTTTGGTGTAAATAAAGAAGTACTTTATGTCCAAGTAATTTGGATCCTGTCATAGGTCCTGATCTAGAATTCTAGACAAAAATGGGACCATTTTCCTCTTCCACAAGTCCAGTAACTGGTCTCCTCAGTTCCCAGATGTTTATGAACTGTTGTTGAAAACAGAGGGGATGCTGCACAGCAAATTCAAAATGAGCCAGTATTTTTCATAAAAGAGTAAAATGTCTCAGTTGAAATATATGATATGCTTCTTCTGCTCTACTATGAATAAAATATGGATCCGTGAGATTTGCAAATCACTTCACTCTGTTTATATTGCTAAAAGTATTCAGTCATCCATCCAAATCATTGAATTCAGGTGTTCTCCCATGTCCACAGGTGCATACCAAGACATTTTGGAATATTTCACTTCGTGGGAACAGTTTGGGGATGGCCCCTTCCTGTTCCAACGTGACTGTGAATCAGTGCACAAAGCAAGGTCCATAAAATATGGATAAGCAAGTGTGTCGTGGAATAAATTATTTGGCCTGCAAGAGTTCTGACCTCAACCTGATAAAACACGTTTGGGACGAATTAGAGCGCAGACTGGAAGTCTGGTCCAGCATCAGTGTCTGACCTCACAAACGCGCTTCTGGAAGAATGGTTGTCGCGGCCTTTTACGTTCCAAACACCAAAAAAGTCCAAGAAAAGGCCATGGGTGGCAACGGGAGGTTTGTTTTAGAATGCACTTCTGACTCCATTGTTTAAAAATCATATGCTGTTTATTTCGTGGAAAATTATAAACAAAAATCAGCCAAATAACTCTTAAACTTAAAATTAACGAAGTTAACTTAATTTGCTTTAACAACTTCAAAAGTGGTCAAAAAATCATTTTCTAACCTCCCGTTTCCCATCTGACATTTGGCAAACAAAAACAAAAACCTCTTTACCACACCATCCAGGGTGCTCTTAATCTCTTGATTAATGGGAGGGTCCATAAGCTAATAAACCAATCACTTTCCAAAAGCTTCTCCAATAAAATTTATTACAAATTTACATAACAAAACCAGGTCAGAATATTCTTACACCTTTAAAGAAAAAACAAAAATGAATACAAATTGCATTTTATAAACATTCAACAAAAATGGCCACAACAATGGTCAAACATTCCCATAGACACACTCCTGAACCTTGTGGAAAACCTCAAAGCTGTTATAACTGCAAAGACTGGACTAACCTATGGATTAACAATGGGATGCCCCTCAAGTTCATATGCGTGGGAAGGCAGACGACCTAATGCTTTTGGCAGTACGGTGTGGTTGCCTGTCCTCAGACACTCCCCTTATCCTTCTGAGTGGGGATCTTAACCCCCCAGTGTTGAACACAAAGTTACACCCTTGGTCAGCAGTGGTACCTTTTGCCAACTCTGAACAACAGTAACCAGCAGTTTGAGATGGCATTAACTAATGATCACATAATGCACACAGAATGATTTAATGAGTGTATTTCAGTAGCAGTGAGCACTTTTTAAATAAGAAAACTTGCATATTCCCAAATGGTGGACAATCAAGAAAAGAAGCAAGTCAGGTGTTAAGGAACGTTACTTTAGCTTCTGAGCTAACAGCCCTGTCCTGAACTGAACTCACAGAGCAGTGAACGGACACTTGGCTTTATCAGGTGCCAGAAGCCCAACTCAGTTGCTTCTCTTCCACACTTAGTGACACAAAATGCCACAGTAATGCAGATTTAAACACTTGGCAGCATATACATAGCATGTCTCAATTTGGATACTTTCATGCAGTACACTATGTACACTTCTTACTTGTGTAGTACATTAAATGGACAATGTAGTACAAATCAAACACAACAAGTTGCACACTTATGGGAAGCGCAGATGTTGAGCTACAAACTTGATTTTTGGGAACATTTGCAACTCTACGTGCCTCTGACCGTACATGATAATGTAAGCTTCTTTCTAC